CGCCCGCCAGGCTCCGGGATTGGCCGGCGGGGAGCCCGCGCCCCAGGCCGGGGTCTCAGCTGCGACAGCCTCAGGGTCCTAATCTGGGCGTCGTTGCTGCCTCAACCATGTGAGCGCTGCGATAGCCCAGGGGGCAAGGCAAGACATCGGGGTGCTGCGCTCGGGACCCGCCTTCTCGCCTGGAGGGCAGGTGCCCCGGGGTAGATGAGACGGTCGCGAGTGAAATCCTGGCCCCTCCCCGGAGGACTGCGGACGTCGCGGGGACAGTGACCAGGCCGGACGCCACGTTGGACCCTGGGCCAGACAGTCAAGAAAAATTTCCCTCTGGAAGGGAGGGACACAGAGGCCGAGTCGGGGACGCCGAGGAAGTTTGCTGCGTCACCGAGGCCTTGGCCGGAGAGACTCCGGCCGATTCGCTTGGCGGTCAACCCACTTGCCCCCCTACCCCGCTGCAGCGACGAGGGCTGATCGGCTGGGGATTGGGGACCGCGCAGGGGTCCACCTCGCCAAACCTCAGTTTTCTCAACTGCAAAATGGGCCTGATCACACTCATTTGGGCTTGTATTCTGCCCAGCAGAATGCAGCGCCTGGACTCTGCAGAGCCCCTCAGCTAGCTGGCCTCGCCCCTCCCGGCCGCGGGTCCTGCAGTCACTGCCGCTTCCACCCCGACTCCAGCAAAGGGAAACCTTTGCGCGGTTACTGCAGGCCCTCGCGGTCGGTAGATGCCGCAGGTAGAATAGAACACAATCTGCTTTCAAAGCAAACCAAGTGTTTCTTTCTCTTAAAAAAAGGGGGGAGGAGGAGGGCATTAGCGGTTGTTTGAGACTTAAAATAACACATTGAGCCAACAACTAAAGACCAACAACCAAGAAAATGTAAAAAAAATCCACCTCTTCGGTGCCGACCTAAGCCGTGAGCACCCCTGTAGAGTCCAGAAATACCGCACGAGAAAAGGCGTTTTCCGCAAAGGACTTTTTCTCTAATTCTAAAAAGAACCTGCACAGTTCTAACGACTCAACGCCGCAACAGATGTTTGCGAAATGCCCTGGCGGATGCGAGAACTTTGCTTCGCTCTTGGGGTCAGAGCCAAAACCAACCAAACCGGTTGTGGTCGCGTCGATTCCGACTCATAGCGACCCTATAGGGCAGAGTAGGACTGCCCCATAGCGCTTCCGAGCAGCGCTGGAGGATGCGAACTGCCGGCCTTTTGGTTAGCAGCTGAGCTCTTAACCACTGCACCACCAGGGCTCCGCGTAAGGTTAGACACGAGTTCTAGGGTAGTTACAGCAAACGTCGATCCCCCTATGCTTAATTCATTGCCTTGGAAACGTACCAGCCGGCTGGGAGTTAACAACAGCCATTTTCATTTTAGAGATCCCAGGGGGTGGTGGGTCGGTCTATTATATTTGTAATAATTACAATCAAGTTGTCATCAATGCAACCTCTACTCTGACCAGAAATTGTAGATACTATGTTTAATTCTCATGACCCCTTCTGCAAATAAAAGAATTAAATAATCTCCGTTCTGCAGGTGAGAAGACCAAGTCCAGAGGAATTAAGTGGCCAAGGCGCGCTTGCCATTAGCGGCTGAGCTGGGTTTTAGCTCAGCCCTGCTGACTCCTTATCACCTTCTGATTTTTGCCATCTGCTTCTACCACCTTAAATCTCGAATTGCCTTCACAATTTGTTATATAAGTGTGTGCCACTTGTACTTTTATTGACAATATTTTTCTTTAAAATTACTGGCTTTGTTTAAACAAAGTTTATTTTAAAATGCAACAATGTCTAAGCCTAAATGGAAAACCAGTGATACTTTGCCCTAAGAGGAGATAAATATAAAAATGGATACAGTGAAAACCAAATCTGTTGTTTAACCAGACACAGTTACCTGCCCCAGCCAGCTTCTTTTATTCAAAAGGAAGAGGAGCAAGAAAAGAAAGCAGCATACTATTAAGAACCCCAAGACTATCTCCTGGGCATCTTCAGAGGAAAAGGAGCACCTCCCTGTGTGAGACATCCTCTGGACACGTTGAACCATCTTGAGTGCTGCTGCTTGGGGTGGGGCAGGACCAGCCATCTGTGGACAGTCTTATGGCTCATCTCAGGGGGCCCTGGGCCCCAGAGCTTTGACCCCACTGCGATCAGGAAATGAGAAGCAGCAGGGGAGTAACATCTTACTTCCTATTTGTCAGCCCCATTGGCGGTGTGTGCAACAAGACCCCGCCTGAGCCTCTGTGCTCCTAACAAAAAAGCTAGGGTGGGAATCTCTGACAGAGACAAAAATTAAAATCTCTGCTGACAACTATTTTGCCAAGCCCCATTTTACCATCTGGATGAGGCCAGCTGTTGACCACCCAGAGATCTAGTTCCTCCAAGTAAAATGCACATCTCGCCTCCCAAGACCTGCTCATTGACAAGGGGCACTAACTTCTCTGGGGACACAGCCAGACATACAGTCTTGGGGATCTGATGAAATTTGTCAAATTAAATGCAGAAATTATAAGGTAATCTTTAAGTGAATAAAATTCATTGTAAATTATGGACCTAACTTTGCAAAAAGAAAAAAAACCATAGAAGGAAATTGTGGCCATACAGTTCTGTGGAGGACCACCAACCAGAGAAAGCCAGACCCAGGTGCAGCAGGCTCTGCCACTTGGTCACCTTGGCCTTTTACCCCTTGTGACCTCAGCTTCCTCAACTGTGCAATGCGTTCTTATGAATAGCTGTTGTTTATTGCATGCTTACTACATGCTGGGCACTATGCTAAGCACTCTGAATGTATTCTCTCTGTCACATCCCACAACTATGCAGTGGCTACTTTATCATCCCATTTTACAGATGAGGAAGCTGAGGCTCAGAGGTCACCAGCCTGTTAAGTCCCAGAGCCAGGGCTTTCTGATGCTAAGCTCCTGGCTCTCAAAAATTATGCTACACTAAACTCTTACCTGTGATTTAAAAGAAGAAGTATTTTGGCATATAGGGGAGAAGTGATGATAGGTTACAAATAAATGAATGACAGAGTGGTTAGAATGAAAAACACAGAAATTAGCAAGAGTTGGCAACCATGTGGAGCAACCAGAATTCTCATAGGTTGCTGATGGGAGGGTAAATCAGTACAGACACTTTTGAAAACTGGCATTGTCTACTAAAGTGGAATACATACACACCTTAGGATACAGCAATTCTACATCTAGGTAGATACCCATCAGAAATGCATAGCTCTGTACACCATCAGCTGTGTATGAGAATATTCATAGCTGCACTATTCAAAATAGCCCCTAATAGAAACTACAGTAAAACCTGTGAAAGCTGGAACCCATGTAAGGTGGAAACCTGTCACCAACAGAGCGATAGGAAAGTGGTAAGACTGCATACCATCAAAGGCGGAAAACTTGCGAAACCTGGAAAAACAAGGCAGTCCCACTGAGTTCCTGGCTCTCACAGGTTTCTCCGTACCCAAATGCCCATGGACTGTAGAATGGATAAACAGATTATAGCATAGACATATCATGAAAAACTATACACAGTGAAAATGAACAATTGCTATTATGTGCAACATCATGGGTGAATCTCACAAAAATGTTGTTGAGCCAAAGAAGCCAGAAACGAAATACTATGATTCCATTTTATATAAAGTACTAAACTAGTCCATACTGGGACTACTGATTCTGGGATTGTGGAAATTTTCCTCTTCTTGATCTGCATGCTGTTACATGGGTGTGTTCATTTTGTGAAAATACATTAAACTGTGTGCTTATGATTTGTGCACTCTTCTGTACATATGCTGTACTTCAACTGAAAAAAAAACCACAAAGAGTGACACTGACTCCCAAGCACATAGTCAGAGAGTGTTTCTTTGCATGTCATGAGTGACCGTCATGTGGCCAGCAATGACTGCAGACCAGGAGGGAGAAATGACTCCCTACCCAGATGACTCAGCCCATCTTCCTATCTCTGGTTTCCTGATAAGATCCTAAGATTTGTACATTTGCGTACCTGACTAAGACAGGAAAGGTCTGTGGTGCTTAAGCTGCTATTGCTTTGTATAAAACCTATTGTTTCTAGGTTGTAAAGGACCATGCTCACTGATGAAACACCCAGTAGACACCCAGGAGACAGCTGAGAGCTACTCCTTGAGGAAGCTGCAGTGACTTTGAAAGTTCCTTTGTCTCGTGAGCTTCAGTGTTCAGGAGTCTGAGGGGTTGATGATTACTGTTTTACCAAATGCTCCTGGTTGTCAGGAATCTGATTAGGTGGAACAGTCAATAATGAACTTATTGGGTTTTCCTTGCCCCTTTAGAAGCTATAGGAGCCCTGGTGGCACAGTGGTTAAGAGCTTGGTTGCTAACCAAAAGGTTGGCAGTTTGAATCCACCAGCTGCTCCTTGGAAACCCTATGGGGCAATTCTCCTCTGTCCTATAAGGTATGAGTCAAAATGTGCTCAACAGCAATGGCTTTGGTTTTGGTTTAGAAGCTATAAACTATGAGAAAATAAATTTGGGTTATTTAGAAATGAAACCGTGGACTTTCATGATTTGTCTGGGTATATGGATTCACCCTCAATCTACTTTCAATATGTTTACATTGATAACGACATTTGATGTTCAAAGATGACCCTGTGGTCTTGCAGGACAAAAAGACACAGAGAAAGATTCCTTTCCTTTAGTACATTAAATCTGTGGAGGCAGGAAAACCAAAACCAACACCAAACCCATTTGCCATCAAGTCAATTCCAACTCATAGCAATCCTATAGGACAGAGTAGAACTGCCCCACAGGGTTTCCAAGGAGCAACTGGTGGATTCGAACTGCTGATCTTTTGGTTA